ACAAAGCTCCCACCTGGTTTTCCTATCTCTTAGTCTGACCAACCCATCTCAGTCCCCATTTGCTGGAACATCATCTACTATGTTCCTCTTGCACCCTTATGGGTATCACTTAAGACTCTTGCACAGGGTCCTCCTCCTCTTCCGTACTCTCTCTCTTGATGATCTTATCATCTCTTAGGGATTCAGTTTGTCTCTATGAAATAACTGTAAGATCTACAAATCCATCCCTAGTTTTTCCTGGACTCCAATCCTCTACCATCAAATGATTGCTAAATAGATCCACTTAGCTCTCAAACTCATCAAGTCCAAAATGCAAATCATTATCTTTCCTCTAAAACCAAACTTTTTCTTAACTTCTTTATTTCTGTTGAGGGCACCATCATACTTCCAGTTGCCCAGTTTCCCAATGTCAGAATTATCCTCAACTCTTCCCTTCCCATATCCAATCAGTTGCTATGTTGCATGATTCTATTTCCACATCTTTCATGTCCGTCCAGTTGTCTCTATTCAGATTCCCATCACCATGATTCAGGTCCTTATCAACTCTAGCCAACTGTCTCCATCCTCTACCCTCTCCAATACATTTTCTTCACAGTTGCCAAACTGGTATTCTTAAAGCACAGGTCTGACCATGGCATTCCCGTGCTCAAAATGTTTAAGTGACTCTAGGCTAAAAAACAAAGTTTTTATTTGGCATTCAAAACTCTTCATGATCTGCCTCCAACCTTTCTTTCCAGAATGATTTCACATTACTCCTATTTATAAACTCTCCAGGGGTAGGGAACCTGCAGGCTCTAGGCCACATGTGACCCTCTAGGTCCTCAAGGCCAAAGGTTCCCCATCCCTGGATGACTGTATTCCAGAAAACTGGCCTACTTACTATTTCACCAAGACAATATTTCACCTCCCATCTTTGTGTCTCTGCACAAGCTGTCTTCCCATGGCTAGAATGCTTTTTGTCTTCAACTCTCCTTTTAAAATCCCTCACTTCTTTCAAAGCTCAGGTGTCTCCTCCTACACAAGGCCTCTCCTGACCCTCCCATTTATTAGTGTCCACCAAAATTATTTTATATATTTGGTATTTACTTATCTATGGACATGTTTCCCCCCCAACAAATATGTTTCTTGAGGGAAGGTACTATTTTGTTTTTCAAAGAAGGTGATTAATAAATTGTTAAATGAACTGAACTTGGGGTGAGGTGGAGTTATGTCAAGCAGAGCTTCTTGGAGAAGGTTGTAGAATCTTAAAAAGTTAAATAGGATTCTAAGAAAAAGAAGGGCAGTTTTGTTGTTCTTTTTGGGGTAGAGGAAGCATTCTTGGCTCATATCATTACCCCAGATATTTATTTAGCTGAGTACACTAACTGGAAAAGTCTTACAAAAAATTTTTTTTCAGATGTCTAGTTCTTTAATTTGCATCTCAGTAGAGATTATTCACTTATTTATCAATGTTTATTGTTTCTAATACTGTAGTTAAATAATTGACAGAGGTTCTAATACTTCTTACCCAAGAAGATAATGCAATGTTGGTTAACAAAATAGGAAATATTTCAGCAGCTTTCTAAGATCACTCAAGGCAACCCCTATAAATACCCTGTTAAAAATCATTAGCTCATTATAAGCCTAAGGGCAATACAATGATTCCTAAAGTCCACTTGGTTCCCTTCTTTTTCAGTTCTAGCAAGTATATATATATATATATATATATGGAGGCAACTGGAATTGTGACTTGCTCAGGGTCACACAGCTAGTAAGTGTCTGAGACTGGATTCAAATTCAGATTCTCCTGACTTAGGGAGTTTATTTTAGATGAAAAGTTCTGAATTCAGTAACAATTGCTCCAAGCACCCAATTAGGAAAATTACTAAAACCTAGCAAAGCTCTCTATCTAATCTTACATTTATATCTGTCTCCAGTTATTCCTTGTCTTTCTAGTAGAAGCAAAATTCAGTTTTCAGGAAACATTTGTGCAACAAAACAGATTATATTACAGTATCTGTGGACAAGCATCTAGACTGGAGGTTAGCGAAAAAAGCTTGTCTTTTCTTAGGACTTCCCTCAGACTGGGTCCTCCTCTCTGGGAGACCCACACAGTCAAAGACTCTCCTAGATATCTCACTTCTCTGACACAGCTCCCTTTGCTCCATGTTTGCTCTAAGCTCTCAAACCAGAGCTCGGTATCTCTTTTTTCCCCCTTAATTCTGAGATAGTTTCTCTCTTTCATACAAATCGTTTAGGCCATGCTCCAGTCTTTCACACAGTAGCTCTGAACAATTAAAGATGGTGCACTGGTCCTGTTCACTCAGTTATGAATATAATAATTCAACCAAAAAGTATTCTCATCTAATCAAGGCACCAGAGCCAAATGGGGTGGTTTCAACATCATCCTTACACTTGCTTCAAGGAACACATACAACCATGTTGCTAATCATTGTACTCACAAATTCTTCCATTAGAACACATCTCTAATTTTACAATTATAACTTAAAAGAAAATAAGATTTGTTTTATTGAAAATTATTAATAAAATCTGAGTAATTACCAGACACTGTGTGGGACACAAAAAGGTATAAGACCTTTCCCTTGCTCTCTCCAGTTGGGGAGATAAGTTATATACACAAGCATTAAACAACTTAAGAGTTAAGTAACAATAGATGTTAAAAAGCAATATATAATTAATTGCTATGAGTAACAGAGGCAATATATGTCCCAACTGAGTTCAGAGAACACCCAAGATCAAATGATTCATTTTGTAGTAAATATTTAACATCTTCTTAGACAATAAAAGAAAGGGCTATTTGGCTTTTTTTTTTCTTTTTTGGTAAATGCAACTCATACACAACTATCTTGCTTTACATTAGTCATGTGTTCTTTAAAAAAAAATTGCATGTCTTCCCCCTCAGTCAGATATTTTAAATGCACTAAGAGAACTTGCTTTATCATTAATCTTTTTTGTAAAGTAAATAATGACATTTGTGGATTAACTGAACTTTGTGTAAATTTAGATTTATATGCTATATGTATATATGCTTGCATAAAGCAAGGCATGCCTGTATCTAACATATAATAGCTATCTCCCCTTGAAAAATAAGGAGAATATGACAGGATAATATGATGAGTAAATACAAGATGTTTTCTTAAAATACAAGACCAGATGTTTTCTTAAAAGTTTATAAAGTTTCCCCCCAAAATAAGTTAGATCTATTAGAAGATGTTTATTTCAGGACAAACCTCTACATAGATCATAACTATATAATCATTCCACCAATGTCTATATGATTCAGCCAAATGAATTCACACTTTTAGAAAGAACAAATCAATCTGTGAATCATTTCAAAATTCCTTTAATTCTATAATCTTTTTCTTCAATTTGTCAGATATCATATTAAAGCTCTTAGCAGGGGGCAGCTACGTGGCACAGTGGATAGAGCACTGGCCCTGGATTCAGGAGGACCCGAGTTCAAATCTGGCCTCATACACATAACACTTACTAGCTGTGTGACCCTGGGCAAGTCACTTAATCCCCATTGCCTAACCCCCCCCTGCAAAAAAAAGGCTCTTAGCATAGTTGTAGGCACTTACTAATGTTAAAAAATATTGCAGCCATGAAAAACTAATTTCACAAATACTATTACTTTGTATTTTTCCTAAGCAAGTGGAATGAAATAACTGTGTACACCAAATTTAATACAAGAGTTTTAAAAAATCATTTATTTTGTTAAGTATCTTTGGTCCCTTACTTAAATAACTTTCTGAAAAAAGTAATGAAATGGATCTTTAAGTTAGCATACACAGTATACATTCATCCCTCACTGCAAAGGAATGAAAATTCAATTACACAAAACTGATAGGAGGTAACTTTCTATGATTTTCTAAATTAAGTGTTCAAATAATTCAGAAACAATGCATGAGACAAAAAGACATAAGACTTGGAAATTAGTTAAGTGTGTGGCCACTGCCACATATCTAACAACAAATTTATCAAGCAGGAAATCTCAAGTAAAACACCCAACTTTTAGTCTCTTGCATGCATCAAAAGCCAACTGCAGAATGAATACAATAGTATTTTACATTTCTATATATTATAAAAGAGTAAACAGGCATTTTCCCCAAAAAAACCCTAACAACAAAAAGGCAACTGGAAAAAAACACCTTTAAAAATTATGAAAATCAAAAGTTAAAAAAAATATTTCCTTGACTAAACAGAGAAACTCATGGAAAAAGCTGGAGGCCAGAAGAGTACAATAATTGTTTGTACTTAGTACCCAGCCCAGAGAGGAACTGTGTTTATTTAGCTCACACCTTCTTCAACACACGCATCCCTAGCAAAATCTAGATACAGTTGCAAGATGCCTGTAAATACTTCCTTAAGAATACAATGGAAATAAACTTTAAATTGAGGGATACTAAAGAAACGTGATACTTTTTAGACAAGCACTTTTGGGGCCGTGAAATGCTTCTAACTCTCCCAGATACTGTTCCTAACCACAGTCTTCTAAAACTGTTGCAGATTCCTCATTTCCACAATTCCCCCCACCCCGTCAACACATTTTTCTAAAAAGTGGGCCCACCATACAAAATTAACAAGCTCAAGAGGTCCACCCTGCATTCTTAAAGCCTGTCTTCCTAACAGGACCGAATCAGTGTAAAACCCAGAACCTAGTTAGTGATCCACAGGCCCATAACTGCTACCAATAGGCGCTGTGCTTATTCCAGCGAGTGACAGCCCCGAGAGTTGACAACAGCGCGTTTGCGGGCAGCACCCCCGACACCCGACAGGTCTTCATGATGCCGAGGCCTTCCTGGAGCTCCATCCCTGCTCTCCAGTGACCCCAACACTCCGTACCTCCATCTTCCTCCAGGCAGCGGCCCAGCTGCCACATGTATGCTCCCCCCCCTTCAAGCCCAACCCTTCACCCTTGCATTGAAATCACCACCACGGCACACACACACACATACACACACACACACACACGCATGCACGCGCGCGCACACACGTACCTGGCTCCAAGGACTGCAGGGGGCGGGGGGCCGTCACCGCCACACCGGGACGTCAGTGCCTGGCTAGGTCGAACCTGGGGAGGCCTTTCCTGGTGCTCCACGGCCCCAGGGGGGCCTCCGCGATCCTCCGAGGGGGCTGGGCTGGGGGGCGCCCCCACCTTCGGCCCACCCCCCTCCCCCTTCACGGCCTGTCACCGCTCCCCCCCGGGGGCTGGGGGGGAGGGAAGGGAGCGCGGACCCGGGCGCGGGTGACAGCGGAGGGACCCCCGAGAGAGGAGGGGAGGAGACGAGGAGGCCGGTCCGGGTCGGAGAAACGAGTCGGTCACGCAGCGGGCGGCCGGCGAGGGCCAGGCCCGTCTCTCACATGGAACTCCCGCCGGCGGCGGCGAGGAAAGGGCAGCCCGCCGTCCCCCTCCTGCGGAGGCCGGCTGCGGCCGGCGGGGGCCTGGCTGCCTGCGGGGCAGCGAAAAAAGGGGAAGCTCCAAGGCCTGGCGCTCCCCGAGGCCCCAGCAGTGACCGAGCGGCTGGGGCTGGCGGCGGCGGCCGAAGCTTCTCACCGGTGGGAAGGGAGGGAGGAGGCGAGGAGAGAGGAGGAGTCGGAGTCGTCTTCTCCGTCGTCGTCTACTCCAGCGGCTGCCAAGCCCAGCCACCCCACCCCCGCCGGCCCCAGCAGCCAAGCCGCTCGCCTAAGCCGCCGTCGCCGACGGCAGCCCTGCCGCCACTACACACGCACCCGTGACGTAGAGCATCGCGCGCGGGAGGCGTCACCAGCCCGGGCTCCATCGTCCCTTCCCCGCGTGCGCGCCGCGCCGCGCCGTCTTGGGCTCGCGCGCGTGCACACGCGCTCAACCTTTGGGCTGGGGGGATGCGGGCGAGAGGGAACTGAGTGCAGGGAGAGAGGAAAGGGGAGGAGGCGAAGGAAACGCCGGGCGCGCGCTCGTTGGCTCTGGAGCGCCCCTGTGGCTGCGCAAGCCTACTGCAGTTACGGGAAGAAGGCCATTCGCGCCTGCGCAGTGAAGGCACAGGCTAGGGGATCTCCAGCCTGCCTTGCCTCCCGTCCTCTTTACGCCCCCGATCCCCGGCGCTGGTTCTGAGCCAGGTCACCCGCGGGGGTCATGATTCCCGGGTCTCGAGTCCCAGCTCCAACCAGCTCGGCCTTCCTGACTTCCAGACGCCGAAACCCTTCAGTTAATAATTACCCCCATCCCTTCCCCACTTCCCTCCCAGGAGAGGCCGGAATGATTGACCGCCGAGAAGAACGTCAAACCAGAAGTGTTTTTGTTTTTTTTAATTTTGTAATGTTTTGTTTGACAGGATGGGGTCCCTCGCAACGTCTGGGAGAAATGAGGGAATCAAAAGCACAGGATGTTAGTTTTGTGAGGGACTTTAAAGAAATCAAAGCCAGACCTCTCGTTTTACAGATGAGGAAACTGAGGCCAGGAGAAGGGAAGTGACGCTACATCCAGGAGCAGCAGAACCAGGACCCAAACAGTCCAAGGGCCTCTCGACTTGCCACCTAGGAAGCTTGGGGGGTTCACGAATGAGAGGGGAAAAGAAATTTTAATTTAGCCTCCTTCTTTGAGCCTTCAGTGCTAACACTTTTTAAAGGTATTTTGGAAATGGCAGGAAGGATTAATAATTTTTAATAATGGATTATTAATGACCTATATTTTTATAGGCAGTTTGCCGCACATTGTTAACTTAGGCTCTTTCCTTCTTAGAATGTAACATCCTTGAGAGCAGGTGCTTAGTGAGGTGCCTGACACACGTGGGAGTAGGAGACTGAGGCTCAATCTGAGGTTTCATTGATATAGGAAATTCCTAATGAGGAAATTCCCTCTATCAATGCAGATCTACAACTACTTTGAAACTTCACAGTCTTAGAGAGCTGCTTAAGCACTGAAAGCTAAAGAGACTTGTTCAGGATCATTCAGCCAGTATTTGTCACAGGCAGAACTTCGAACCCCGATTTTCCTGACTCCAAGGCCAGCCTTCTAACCATTATGCACACTGCCTCTTAGTCTCCTAAGAACAAATTCCTAAAGCACAGTTGTGGACGGCTAGGTGGGTCAGTGGATAGCATAAGGGGCCTGGAGTCAGAGGATCTGAGTTCAAATGTGACCTCAAACATTTATTAGCTGTGTGACCCTGGGCAAGTCACTTAACCCTATTGCCTCAATTCCTCATTTGTAAAATGAACTGGAGAAGGAAATGGCAAACCACTCCAGTATTTTTGCCAAGAAAACCCTAAATGGGGTCATGGAGGGTCAGATAGGACTCAAACACTAACGACAACAAATGCATAGTTAGTGGATCTGCAGCAGCTTGTGAGCCATAGTATTAGAAAAACTACCAACACTTAGACCCCCTAGAACTCTTGTGGAAGCAGTAACCTGACCTGCAAGTTTGAGTGGGAATTGAGGAGAGTCTTTCCATCTCATTTTAGCGCATTCAGTTCCTCAGGGATGGAATGTTCAAAGATTTGTGACCATGATATTACTGGAAAAATGTTTGTGTTTAAGTGCTGTGTTGCAGGAAACAGGTTAGGATCACCAAAAGTACTGTGCAGTTTCCCAAATGCAATCCAACCCAGTGCCTTCCTCCTATTCAATTGTAGGCCCAACTAGTCATTTTTCCTTTGTGGTCCCAGACAAGTGTATGTATATACAACAGCCAGGTCCTGATTAGTGCAAATGATAAATCCTGTGAAATGGTCACTTTATTTGAATTTGAATTGAGATAAAATAAAAATGCGTATTTCTATTTGTCTGGAACCAATTAAGATATTTTACATAATTATAACAGAGTAGTATGAACTGGAAAACACACAACCATTTCACAGGTGGGTTTCAAGGACCTAGCTGTAATTCAGAAAGGCTCTATGTCTTGGAGTTACGAAAATCTGAGGTCAAGTCCTTCCTTTGACACATTCTACCAATGTAACAATGGGCATTACCTATCAATACTCTAGGTAATTCTTATTAGTGGAAAAAATTACTGTACACAGATGAAAAGCATAACTCATAAACTGGACATTCAACTGCATATAATAGTCTGGGACTATTAAATAATTTGGTTTTTCCTATATGGATTTATTAGCCCAATCTCTTCTCTAATCCCATCAAGTGTTACTGCTCTACTCCAATGGTGTCAAACTCAAATAGAGGCTGATCTCTCATGGCCTATGCATATAGATTTAGAAAACCACAAATTAACATTATATATGTTGTATTGTTGGCAAAGAAAATGGCATACTATTCTAGTATCTTTACCAAGAAAACCCGAAATGGGGTTATGAAGAGTCAGACAAGATCAAAAAGACTGAACAACAAAAAATGTTTTGTTGGATTTTTATTTATTTTGTTAAATCTTTTCCAATTATGTTTTAATCTTGGGGTTGCACTCAGGAGTTTTATGGACTGTGAGTTTGACACCTTTATTGTACTTCACGCTTCTTCCTATCCTCCATCACTTTGTATTCTTTTTATTTATGTATGTACACGCAGGCGAGCAAGTGCACACACACACACACACACACACTTCTCTCTGGGTCTGTTGTTTCCCCTTGTATAGAACATAAGCTCTTTCAGGACAGGGACATTTATTTCATCTTCATATTCCCATCACCTAACACAATGTCTGACATAGTGCTTAATATGTACTTTGAATTGAATTGAATTAATAGCGGATTGAATTGAAGATGCCTTGTAATGTTATGGGACTTGTGTAGAGACAAGGTCCTGCCAACTACAAATTTTAAAAGTGCAGTATATGTATAGGATATAATCTCTGCTGATTATGCCAGTTATAGAGTGGCAAACCTTCTGAGATAATACCAAGATACTGAAGAAGGGCAGTCCACACCAGCATGGATATATGTATGTGTAGATTTATTAGGATTTATTGGATTAATTGAGGGAGTTTAGAGAGTTTACTCACAAGACTGGTCCTTGGCAGCAGGAGGACTGAATAGTGTATCCCCACACCTGCTCTTAATTAGACGAGGTCAGATGTATAGAAACAGAACAAAGAAGGCATAGTGCCAGGGATGGCTCAGGGTCATATGCAAGTTTTCCCATGGGATAGTTCAAGCTTCTTTTGCTACTTACATTTACTTAGGGTACCTTCCATTAACATTCTCACACTCTGGCTCCCACTGGACAGCTAAATGTAATCAGCACAGTGTCTTCTGCAAGCAGGAACATCTTTTTGTTAGACCCCAACATGTAGGGGGAGGTCCTCTTCCATTTGGATGCTTCATAAAAATCTTCCATGTGTAAGCTGAGTCCCAAAGCCCGTTTGTATAGCACTGTCTCCTCATTGGTGGAGATCAATGCCCTGTGCCTGTGTCAGGTGTGGGGAAGAATCGGGGAGAGCAAGAGTGAGAACTGTTGGCAGTTCTTTATGTCTCTTCTAGGTTCTTGGGTTTCTTCCGATCTTCTCTATCTCTTCCAAACTTTTCAGTCTCTTTGGAAGCTTCTGGCTTCCAGCTTTGAGAGAGAAGATGAAAGATGCCAATCTCATTTCAGGTTGTTGAAGGAAAAGACTCTAGGAAGAAGCTGACATGAGAGGAACTGACAGTCCCCATCACGTCCCTATCCCCAGCTTGTTGCTAGAGACTTTGGGGAATTTTCCTTTGGAGGTCAGATTTAGGATTCTCTGTCTCTCTGTGTCTCTCTCTGTCTCTCTGTCTCTGTCTCTTTTTCTCTGTAGATCTGTGTTACCGCCTAAAAGGAGAGCTACTTCACCCTGTATTTGTCTGATGTATATTCTCTTACGTATACTTTCTCTTATTCTCTTTTGCTATCAAGTTGGATAAATGAATGTCTTTGTTACTTGCTTTGTGTGTTCATTGTGGAACTGGCATTTGCTGAGAAAGGGGTCAAGCCTTGCATATAAGGACAGCTAGGTGGTATAATGGATAGAGTGCAGAGCATAGAGTCAGGAAGACTCATCTTCCTGAGTTCAAATCTTGCCTCAGATACTTAACTAGCTGTGTGACCCTGGGCGAGTCATTTAACTATTGGCCTCAGTTTCCTCATCTGTCAAATGAGCTGGAGAAAGAAATGGTAAACTGTTTGAGTATCTTTGCCAGGAAAACCC